AGACAAGCAGGTCGAGCATGCAGTTTACAACTGCCATATATGTCAGGCAGCTGACAAGTCTGCCAAACCTGCATTTTCTCCATTGCAGCCAGTCCAGTGGCCTGATCGGCCTTGGCAGAAACTCGGCATGGACATCATCGGTCCTTTGCATAATGTTCCGAAAAATGCCCGGTTCATTGTTTTTCTCATCGACTACCATTCCAAATGGCCAGAGCTTTGTTTCACACATACGGTTACTTCTGAGCGTCATTTTTTTCAAGTGTTTTGTTGTTCTCTAGGGACACATTGAATTTTCACGTATCCTATGAGAAACACACCGCAACCGATATGGGACGCTCTTGGTGGATATCCTTGCCTTTACCCATCGTGGTATAGCTCATCAAGTCGGCTGTAGCGCTGTTTAGCTCGAGGACGCAGGTTTCATTCCCTGAGCCGGCTGCTGTTTTTGAATAAGGTCGAAGGGCAAGTTAATCCGTGTATTTAACTTCAGGTGAACGTTGACACAACGCCAGCTGGGTGGTCCGGATCAATCCGGTGCCTTATATTCGTATTGCGGTTTTGGCACCCAAGACCTCCATGTTACGGTATTCACTGAAGTACAAAAGGAGGTTTTCCCCCGAAACTTTAGCTACTAAAGTTGATTGATATGTAGGGTTTAACGTCCCAAAACCAGCATATGATTGTGAGAGACGCCGTAGTGGAGGGCTCCGGAAATTTAGACCACCTGGAGTTCTTTAACGTGCACCCAAATCTGAGCACACGGGCCTACAACATTTCCGCCTCCATCGGAAATGCAGCCGCCGCAGCCGGGATTCGAACCCGCGACCTGCGGGTCAGCAGCCGAGTACCATAGCCACTAGACCACCGCGGCGGGGCTAGCTACTAAAGTCGACCCTTGCGTTACAACGAATACGGCAATTCAGTTTTTTTTGTTTCTTTCGTGGACGCAAGGAAAAGTCAACAACCGCGTTATAATCGTGATCACGGTACAATAGAGTAAAATGCGGTTTTAGTCTGAAAATCCCTACCATTCTCTCTTCGGTTCTCTCGCTCTCTTCAGTTTACACTGTGCAGTTGCGTGCAACTTATTTCATCACCGATCGATCAAGCTGTCAAGGCGCTCCAAAGGAGGCAGCAAGTGTCGAGGACAACCACCGAGATGGTGACCGCATAAAAAGCAGAGTCGAGGCTATTCGCTCGCTTACAATCGTAAATTAAGTGCCACCTCGGGCTTGGTGTCCCGTGCCTTGAACTTATTTCGGAAATGCGGTTATACCAATCCACGGCCACTGATAAGGTGATGAATGGCGAGTCGCGAAACACTCTCGCCTGTGAAGGTTCTCACGTAATGTTGGAAGCATACCTTTGTTTCGTGGTCGGGTAAGTAGCGTCCTCTATCGAATGCCGACCGCGTGCGTTCGCTTAGTCGAAGCATTACAGGGACATGTAACACAGTGCGTATAAATACAAAAAACGCCCGACCTGTGCGGAAGGCGCAGCACAATCACAGCGAAAGCTGGAAGAGCGGCCTTTCAGAGCTATTTTTAAAAACTTATTGTGTAACTGCTGTAAGAACACTTGCTTGATAGGCACTACGGCATTAAAAATTTTTCGGGGAAATATTCTGACCATTGCTATGCTACTGTTTTTCGTAATTCTTCTGAAAAGCGGGGTATCTACTAAACACTTGCAAGGAATTTTGTGCCATTTCTTCAAACAGTGGCTGACGACGATGAGGAATTACGCCTGAAGTGGGTATGGCGCCCCCGTTATTAGCTCAACAAAAACGGGATTTTGTAATAGGTTGGAGCATTGGACGACCCAAACGTTACGCCAATCGCATTGTGTGACGACTGGTTGTGCTTTCGCTATTTTTAAAACACTTTATAAGTCGTGATAACGGGATTGCTTTCTCGACATCAAGCCTGCCTAAGGCAAGTTTGCCAACAAGTTCCAGACATCGGCGTAGTTCAGTGGTAGAATAGTGGGCTGGCACCCAGCGGACCCAAATTCGAGCCGCACTTTATCATTGGCACTAGTTTTTTTTATTTATTTTAAGTTGCCTGCGATGTCGTTCCGGACACTAGCGGCGGCGGACAACTATACGGCACCGCGCGTGATTCGAGTTTTGATCTCATAACGGCTTTCGTCGTAAAACATGACGATATTGCCTTGTATATGTTCGAAAAGAGTTTTCCTTGAAAATATATTATCTTACGTTATATTGCACGCGTTCATCGAAGTATTGCATGCTAAAAAAAAGTGACTTTGAAAAGGGTTTTGCTTGAAAAGTAAATCCATATGATACGCTCAATAAGTCTATGTGTGGGCCACGCAGTTTTGATCGATATGTGATGTGTTTAATGCTGAACTTTTAAACAAAGTTTTTGTTTTTTTGGTCATACCTCATGCTTCCACACTGTTATTTGCCGTCGTCGTGTGAACCGGGGAACAAAAAAAATTAAAGCTTGAGTGACAAAACCCAACAGGCTTCACCATGATTGTTTAACACACTTAGACGTTGTTATTAATTCCATCCTATCTGCTCGAACGGGGAGATGTGCTAAAGCATCCGCTATTTCATTTAATTTCCCACATTGACCGAGAACCCACACTAATTTTAGATGCTTCTGCTGATGCGAAGTAAATGTCGCAACATCTTGAGGACACGGGAGTTGTGAGAAGCTGAAAGAGCTGTGCATACGAAAAGCGAATCATTTATTACTACCTCGCTGTTTTCATCTGTCGGAAGTTTTCGCAGCGCCATGATGACAGCCCTGAGCTCATCTTAAAATACCGGAGTGAAATCGGGTAGCCTTACAGCGAATGACCAGCCAAGCGATTGCTAAATAGTTCCTATGCCTGTCCTTTCCTCCTTCAAGGAAGCATCTGTAGCTCTCATGTTACGTGTTGTTGCATGTACTATTACGACGGCAATAATAATTATGATGCCTCTACCATGGTTCATACTCCCTCAGGAGGATTTGCGAAGAATCAATTACATGAAATAGTGATGATGATTATGCGCCTTGAAATATTGGCACCTATCCACTCAAGGGGATCGGCCAAGAGCCGGGTTGGTGATACAGACTGTATTTATGATTAATAGTATTTTCTAAAAGCTAAAGTGGATTAGACATGCAAATAAAATGTAATGTAATTATGAACACAATTTAATTTTAGCTTGTATTATTTTGCATAACCTCCGAATGACCTAAGCTGTTTTGACTAGGAATACATTATGAAGATTATTAGCGGTTTATAAAACTAGCAAGGATATCTGAGTCACATATAAACTTTTCGACAGCATTGAAAATATTCTTGTCTCAGTGTCCCGGCGTAGAGGGCCCAAATGATGAAATGTTTAGTTAAAAGAAAACAGCGCGAAAGACGAGAGACCAGACAAGGAAGTACATATACAGAGCACTGAGTTACAACAAAAACGGCATTCTTCAAACCACGCATATATACATATGATGCTGGAACGAAAAAAAAAGAAGAAACAAAAGTGACAGTGACAAAAGTCACTGCATCCATGGTTTGAAGAATAAAGTTTTTGTTGTAAGCCAGCGCTCTGTATGTGTGCTTTTTTTTTTTGTCTGGTCTCTCGTCTTTCATGCTGTTTCTTTTTCACTATGTCCTACCAGCGCGCCTAAGCAATCGCATTGGCTAGAAATATTTTTACAGTTCGCCCCACGTCACTTTCTTCCGAAATCGTACCCACAAAAGATGGATTCACTTTTGAAAAGAGTTTCGGGCATGGCATGACCACAAAACTAGCAAAGCACATATTAGAACTCCGCGAGTCCACGAGCACGATTCATAAAGAACGACTCTGGCTGTGTGGAAACTGTAAAATTGTTTGATGAAGCGATAATTTTGGCGCGCCTTGGAGTGAACGATTATAATCATCACTATCAGAAACAGGCGAGAGTAAAATAAAAAAGACGAGATGCAAAATTGACTGGTGGTATGGTTGATGGTGTGAATGAAAGTCCGACATTCATTCGATTTTGAGCGGGCGAGATAAAATCAACTGTGTGGTCTACTCAAAATTTCAGTTTTCTAATATAGCATTAGCTTTATTTTTCTCTTATTGATTCATCTTTATTTTTAGTTATTAGCTTTTTATTTATTTTATTATTATTCCTTATTTTATTAATTTTGTTTTTAACAATAGGCTCAGTCTAACACATATAGGCTACTATAAGCTTTCATGGCCGATTCCCCAGTGTAGGTATGTGCCAGTACTTACAGGAAACAAACAGACTAAGGTTCATTGTTTGCAGCATACGCGGTTGCAGTCGGAAATTGATGTTCTATGACCCATCACAGTGCGTTATCACAGCGTTAGGCGATTTCCCTATTCACTACTGACTCTCGTCAGACCTACATAGTGTGTACAAGTAACGTTTTCTAGGAAAAGCAGCAAAGTAGGGCTGTGCCCCACATCTGGTCACGAATATTTAGCAAATGCAATGTTTGTAAACTGTACGAAAGCAGCGCTTCTTATTTTTATTTAAATTAGTGAATGTCGAAACATGGAACGCCAGTGCCTTGTTAACCAGAGAATTTAGCTCAAGTAACAGCAATAAGGGAAAGCAAAAGAAGAAAATGTTTCGATGCGTAATTAAGGCTGCTTCTATGCATCAAAGAACCTTTCATTCAAATTAGGTTCTCAAGAAAATGCATTTGGTGACAATTGATCTTGCGTTTCATGCTCTGCTTGCCCTGGATCACTAAAGAAGAAAGGAAAGAGAGCCCTACCCCGTTGGGCAGCAGAACCTATTCCTATCATATACTAATAGCATTGCGAAGAAAACAAAACAAAAAACAAATTCACCTAACACTCGGCTAATCCCCTGCATTGGGTAAGAACCATATGAGATGAGAAGAAGAAGAAGAAGAAGACAGCCGCCGCCTGTTTCGTCGGGCAGCCGCCGCCGCCACCGAGTGAAGCTCCCGCCTGGCCGTCCAGAGGACAGCTGCCGACCAGGAGGATGTCGGCGCCAGCGGGCAGCAAGCCTCCCCCAGAGGGTGCGAAGCCACGCAAGTCGTCCAAGTCTCAGAGCAGCAAGGACAGCCGCAGGAAATCCTCGGAGATGGAAAAGTCGGGCAGCCAGGAACATAGTGGTGAGAAAGGATCCAAGCGAAAAGACAGCAAAAGCAAAGACAGCAAAACAATGGAAAGCCAGAGCAAGACGACCAAAGCTAGCGAGAGGACTCCTGACAAGTCGGGCGACAAGAGCCATGAGAAGTCTGGCAGCGGCATCAGTAAGGACAGTAAGATTAAGGCCAGCAAGTCTAGCACAACGACCAGGGGCAGCAAAACGAGCAGGACTAGTGACAAGTCAGGTGAAGAGAGTAACGAGAAGTCGGGAAGCAAGACAGACAAGAGCAAGAGCGGGGAGCACAGTCAAGAGGATTCCGCGAGCAAGTCTACCAAGACTGGCACTACTAGGACCGGCCCTTCCAAGACCGGTACTTCCAAGACCGGCACTACCAAGACGGGTGCTACCAAGACCGGTGCTACCAAGACCGGTAAGAGTAGAACTGAGAAGAGTGGCAGCAGGAGCGCAGAAAAAAGCCAAGACAAGTCTGGAAGCAAGACTGAGAAGAGCAAAAGTGGTGAGACCAGTCATGAAAAGTCCGGCGGGAGCAAGACGGAGAAGAGTAAAAGTGGCGAGACCAGTCACGAGAAGTCCGGTGGTAGCAGGACTGACAAGAGTAAAAGTGCCGACCGAAGTCATGAGAAGTCTGGAAGCAAGACAGAGAAGAGTGGCAGCAAAACTGAGAGGAGTGGAAGCAAAAGCGGAAGCAAGAGTGGAAGCAAAAGCACCGACAAAAGTGGAAGTAAGAGCGATGAGAAAAGTGGCAGTAAGTCCGGCAGCAAGAGCGACGAAAAAAGCGGCGAGAGGACGAGCAAGTCCAGAAGCACTAGCCAGGATAAGACCAAGGAAAGCCAAAGAGCAAAGCCAGCAGAAGAGAAGGGGACATGACTCAAGAGAAGTCGCAAAAGTCTCAAGAAAAGAGCCAGAAGAGTGGTAGCACCCCCAAAGAGGGCAGCGGCGGCAGCCAGCGTGATGGAAGTCAGCAACAGCAGGGCGATGGCCGAGACCGGGTGATGGGCATCGACAGGGGCCTAGAAGGCATCAGGTTGTTGCCTGAGGGTCACCCTCTCAGGTTGATGTTCGAGAACGCGCTGCTCACCGTGCGCAACAGACAACTGCAATGGCTCCACTCCGAGCTCAAACAGGAACACCTGGTCACACTGATGCAGGTAGGCACACTTCGGAAGAAGCGTGGTGTGCTGACAGGACCATCGGCCATCATGGTGGACCGAGCCGTGTCGGCGATGCTTTTGGGCAGTGACGTTGTTTCAGATGGTGGTGTTCCTCTGGGCGAGTCTTCAACTGGAGGGCCTCGTTTTGAGGACCCCCGATATGCCAACTTGCCATCGGTCGTGGTAAACATCGAGGACAAAGGGATCTCGGCGCAGGATGACAGCCTGTACAACTTTGGACGCATGGCAAAGGGCACGAGGAAGTGCAAGCACATGGCTGGCCCGCACGATGACATCAACTGGGAGGACCTGCAGGCGCGCCTTCTGCCGGCGTTCTACACTTTCTGATCCTGCTTACGTGGACAATGTTTAATAGGTGCCCAACAACACAATGTTGGTGTATTACCGCCCAACGAGACGTCTTCGCCTCACTGAGACGCCCAAAAGACGCTCATGGATTGGCGCACGTGTATGCTCAAGTGGAATTCGCGTGGCGACAGAAGTTCGCCATTGGTCGCGGTCCCTTTTTTCAGGTGTACCAGCTTTATCAAGCTTGGTACCCCAGATCGGTTCGCATAATATAATATTTTCCCTCGTGCTTCTGACTTACGCATTCGTAAAATTTTGACAAGCCCACTATTACGTAAGATTCTCTAGATTGTCGCTTTTATTGACGTATTTAGACGCGAAAATAAAACATGGAGAGGAGCTGTATCCCTAGAAGTACAGTCGTCAGCTGCTGTGTGCTCGTGTGACTACTCCGGGTGATCGTCGATGCCATCCTATTCGGCTTCAGTTGTGCAAAGACGATGTATTTTATTTGAGGACCTGCGTTAGCGATGCGCGTGCAAGCTATTGTGATTATTTTTAATTAATTGACACCTATTTGTCTAATTCATGGAAATTATAAGGCAGTCAGGAAGTACGCAATCGAACAACGTTCGCGCGTTTTTGCAATAGACCATGTTGCAAGAGATCGCGTGCAGGCTCATTGCAAGTCAGTCTTAAGAATACCTACACAAGTTCCCACGTTATACTATGTGGACGTGAGAATATAGCAAGTCTTTTACGATTCACGTGGCTGGCATGATACAAAAAAATTTGGCGCACCCTTACGGTTCACCTTTGAGAGTTGAACGCAACAGCAATATCCTGTCCCTATCGCGTACTTCAACAACTTAGTGCATATACTATTAAATGCGAAGCATTTTTTTTGGCGGGCTGCAAGCACTTTCGGTGTCTACGTATCTATACGTATGTCTATCGGCTTACGGCTGGGTGATCTCGTGGCTACCCCCTTAAGTTGGCGTTGGAGAGGGCAAGATGGTTTGACGAATATGACGCGCTGGTCAAGGCCTGAATGTTGCCACAATCCTGTCGCGTACGTCGGCAACACTTTCAGCCAGACGGTGGTAAATAGCCACAGGCGGGTATGTGCCACATGTACGCGGGCATGATCCACAGGGTATTGACATATAGTATCTACCCAGGAACGGCGAGAACACACATGGGTAACCCTAGCACGTTAGCGTTAAGAATGAGCAAAGATGAGCAGCGTTGACCCGAAGAATGCAAATAATAAATATCAGGGTCCCAGCAGGAATCGAACCCCAGCATTTTGCGTGGTGATCAAGTATTCTATACCACAGAGCCATGCCAGGTCCCGGAACTGCTTTTCGAATAGACCCTAATGTTCGTTAAATGCCTATTGTGGTCGCAGTGCTAGCTATACAGTTTTATAAGCATTCCATATGCAATTATATGATGAAGCCGCCACGTCGGGTTAACGTGAATTGTAGTTGGGTGCTATCCACTGCAGCTGTTTTATGTAGCAGTGTAGAGGGCTACCATTCTCCTGAGCACCAGCGCTTCATGTCAGTTCATCACGTATGGTGTTGCTAATGCTCATGTTCCTGTTTGGATCGTCACGCAAGTGCAGATTAGTTATATGAACATCTGAAACTGTTCAACATGTCTATGCATAGAAAATTTGTACATATATTCAGCGTCATTTCATAATGTTTCATTTTCATACCTTCACATAACGTCGATTCACAAGGTACGGGATCTGCCAAATTCTTTATTAATTGGTGTTACTCGAAAAATTTATATTGTGAATTACTGCCACGTAATCGATAAAGTTGAAACTGGCTTTTGTAAATGAATCTTTCGCATATGGCGGCATTCTGAGTAATGGGTGGTAAGCTTCAAACGAGTACTGACATGAAAGTTTTCAGTTGCCCCCCTTTTTTTGCGTCAAATGATAGACTAAGCACCCGAGGGCGTAGAAAATGCATACCTACAAGCGCGCGTGTGGCATAAAAAATAATTACAGCACGCTTTTAGAAGCTATTTTCTGTTCCTACTGTACCCCAACGTCATCACATGGTATGAGCAGCGCCACCTGGTGGTACAGTATGCGTGCGTGCAAGTATTCATGACGTATCTTGGTCAGCAAGTCACTTCCTCGGTCGTCTATACCTCGTCTGCTGCGCGCCGCACGTGTGGCAACTGTCGGGGTAGGGAGGCTCAACGTTTAGATGGCATCACTTTAGTGCTGCGCACATGGTAGGAATTCGGATGCGATTTGCCGTGCGGTTGTTCGTGCCAGCAGCCGCATTCGCGCGAGAGCATGACAAGGGGCGCCAATGGTGGGCACCCGCCTCAGGTTTGTGCCTCGCCGCCCCGATTGCCCATGTATTTCTAAATATCGCCGTTGCCAATAGTTTGCAAAACTCTGTATACAACCGTCTCCGTATACAGATTTGTATGGCAGAGTTAACTCGCCTCCGAATAAAGGTGTCACTGTCCCCTTTAAACCACAAGCAGTTACGCACGGCGAATGGTTTCGAACTTGCTATGCACCCAGTACGTGCTATTAGGGGAACACTGCAGCAACGTGCGTGCCTTTTGTAGGGGCTGGTAGACTTTCAACCAAGAAGTCGTTATGATACCCGCATGTTCTGAAGCGCTATCGCAATGTACGCTTCTACTACGCTATACTGCATCAATATTACATGCTGCAATGGGAAGTCTCTATACACAACAAGCTTCTTTGTAAAGCATGAAAGGTGATTTCACTGCATTTCCGAGGAAACACAAATTTGTGTGATAAAATACATGTTTTCCACGCAAACGTCCTCGGTTCAATCTTTACACGAATCAGTAATTTTTCGTATTTATTTTAACGCCTTAAAAAATAACGCAAAGCAAATGTGCACTCACAGGATCCTAGTTCGGCGAAGAAGTACGTTTAATTACAAACCCATCGATTGGGAGGTCAGCACTTCCGAATACACTTCCGAATACCACCGTTGCGGCAACATAATGTTTCGTAGTTTGCTGCTGCAATTTTACTAAATTCTTCTACCTAACAACGCGTTATACGTAGCGCACGCAGGCTATACGCCCGACGGTTGGCCCATTTTTAAGCGGCTACGATAACTGGTCTCAGTGAAAATGGGATCAGCCGTGAAGAGAACATGCCTTAACGGTCGCAAAACAACGAGTCCGTTTTGCGACCATAAGACGAACAGACCGAAAAACAAAAACAATGACAGAGTGTCAATTGTAACAGCCCTTACGATGGTCTCAATGCCACGGAGTTCCGTCTCGAAAAAAAAAATTGCCCGCAGCTTCCCTCGGGGGAACACTGAGAAGGATGCGGAGCATATAATTGGTTAACGGGGTGTTAAAGTGCGACTTACTTGGGTCGATGGCTAAATTGGTTAACGTGGTTGTGAAATGGGGTGTTAAATTGCGACTTACTTGGGTCGATGGCTAAATTGGTTAACGTGGTTGTAGGAGGGGGTGTTAAATGAGTGAACACGTACACACGTATGCGAAAGGGCGGCGCTGGTCGAAGGGACGTCGATCATTGTGTTTGTGGATTCGTTGGAATTCATTTCACCGCGACCTTGGACGTCGACGCGCCGTACAAACCAACCGACGAGCGGCAACTGAGCGAGCGAGCGCCGACCTTGAGTATATATACAGCGCGACGGCGCATGCACTGTCAGCTGTTGAATGTTCTCGAAGCGCGACGCCACATGCGCGTCCACTGGAGAATCAGGAGAATTCGTAGATGTCGAACGCGGTGTGTAGAGGAGGAAGGGTGCACAGATGGTGGAGGAGTGAAGCGCGCGCGGTGTGTAGAGGAGGAAGGGATGCACAGATGGTGGAAGAGTGGGCGACGGCGCGACGGCGCATGCGCGCGCGTCAGCTGTCGAATGTTCGAGAAGCGGTGCGGACGGCGCGGACGGCGCACTACAAGGCGCGAGTATAAGATGCTTCCGCATCTAAAAAAAAAATCACCGACGGTTACGCCACTGTCTAATGCCTACTATGTGAGAAATTTTGGCTTTTCGCAAGGTATTGGCTATGCATTCAGTTATACATGATAATTTCTGGGAATTAGGACAGCAGCCACCACGCTATTCTCTCTCTTTCTGGGGATAAGCGAGGTACCCGCTCTGCATCTGTTTTTGTCCCCTTTGTTGCGGCTCGGAAATCGCTGAAGGGCGCGGATGCATTCGAGCCCTCTGGCGAAGACCCGTCAGCCACTTGGTTGGTGCTGCGGGTGGCTGATGATGAAAAGTCACGGCTGAGCGTTTTGCAAGCAGTTGGTGGGAAGCACCCCCTTTGCGCCTGTTTTCTGTGCCTATCTGCACCTTCTTTCATCTGTACCCTCTCTGTACATTCATCCTCTATGCATTC